CGGGCACCAGCGTCCTCGATGGCGTAGCCCCGGAGGGTGACTGTGGGGACCTACTGTTGGACTCCGGACTTCGAGAGCCGGAACCCGAGCCCCACACGGGGCCAGAGCCGCCAGCCCCCGGGCTGGACGCTGAGCCCTTCACCAGAGTGTCCATGCCCGCACCCAGAGGGCCGGCTCCGCCCTGGCTGCCCAGCCCCATTGGCGAGGAAGAGGAGAATCTAGCTTGAGGCCCTTGGGCCCAAGATCCCCAAGAACAAGGAATCAAGACCCACACCGCACCCACGCCGACATCTGGGTCCGCATAAGCTCCTCGTGAATTTCATCCGCCGGCTTTGGACCAGTTCCCGCTACCCCTGCTCCTGTCTTCATGTCTGGCCTGTGTCTCCTGTGGGCCGGCCCTGGGCTAAGGGCAAAGGGATTTTTCCAGCTTAGAGCAGCTCATTCTTCCTACCAGCTCTACTCTCCCTCCCGCCACTGCCTGGAAGGGCCCTATGTGTGTCCTGCCTTTATTGTTTCCTTAAAATGGAGATAGGAGTGCCTACCTCTTTGAGTTGTGAGGATGGGAATGAAATAACAGCTTTAAGGTGTTTGTACATAATAGGTGCTCAATAAAATGGTTTCTACTCAAATGCTGTTAGTCTGACTTCTCCTGCCACACATTATGCTAAGTCTGATTTTAGTAATTTTCCAGGTTATTTCATGATGCCCTGCCCACTTCTTTCCAAAGTCTGCTCTCTGAAATGGCCGCATCAGTGCACACAACTGTACTCATTCATTCATGTACCAGCCACAGTCCCAGGACTACAGCTTCCTGCTGCCAGCCTTGATTCATGATTCTACAAGCAACCTTTCCACGCCAAGTCCCTGAATTCTCACATACCCTTTTAGTGCTTCTGGTCTTAATTCAATCATCTGCTGATGACTCTGTATTTAGATGTCCACACAGGATCCCTCCCGTCTCTAGACCCATAGATCCAACTGTCTTCCCAATGTCTCCATGTAGGGATCTCTCAGGCACCTCGGACATAACAGGTCCCAGAACCAGTCCCCTTTGGCTCCCCAACCTCTCTCTGTCGGCTCTGTCCGTCCAGATGATGAGCTAAAAGCTGGAGTCATCTCTTACCCTCCTCCACACTAACCCAGCAGCAAATCTCATTGGCTTGGTCTTCAAACTGTATCCAGATTCCAACCATTTCTCCTTCCTCTAGGGCACCCACCTCTGTTATGCACCCACCCAGCTGGACTAGTGACCTCCACCCTAGTCTCCCAGCTCTGGCCTTAACCCCCCCGTCAGTTCCTCCCACAGCAGCCAAGGGGAGCCTATGAACAGGACTACAAAGACCACAACCTTGACCTGTTTGTGCCCGTCTTCACTCTGCTGCAGTTCTTCTTCTATGCCGGCTGGCTCAAGGTGGCTGGGGCCCTGAGCCTGGGCTCCGGGAGTGGGGCGGGCAGGGGCTCTCAGGTCTCCGCTTACCTCCCTTCTCCCCACTCAGGTGGCAGAGCAGCTCATCAACCCCTTTGGAGAGGACGACGACGATTTTGAGACCATTTTATCTATTTCCAAATTAGATAACACGCTTCCATGACTCCCACCGCACTTAGGATAAAAGCTCAAGTCCTCTCCGCAGCTCACAAGGCCCTGAGCAACCTCCCTGCCCTTGTCTCCTCCCTTCCCCTCACTCACTCCACACTATCCCTCTAACCCACCCAGCAAGGTCTCATCTCAGGGCCTTTGACATGGTGCTCCCTCTGGCTGGATTGCTCTTCCCCAGATACCTACATGGCCCCTTCCTTACTCGCCTTCACGTCTCTGCTTAAATTATATCAATTCCTTGGCTTGACTTCTTTTGCTGGCCTTTTATTACAAATCCCCACTTCCTGGAGCATTTGAGATCTTGCTCCCCATCATGCTGTCAATTTGGCTCCAATAAATTATTATTACTTTTGCTATTGTTGTTAATCCTCACCCAAGGATATTTTTCCATTGATTTTTACAGTGTGGAAGGGAGAGGGAGAGATAGAGAGAAACATCGATGTGAGAGACACATCGATTGGTTGCCTCCTGCATGCATCCCAACCAGGACCAGGGAACCTGCCACCAAGGTATGTGCCCTAGACTGAAATGGAACCCTGGATCCTTCCATCTGCAGGCTGACACTCTATCCACTGAGCCAAACCCGCTAGGGCTCAAATAAATACTTATAAAAAAATTTTTAATCACAGTCTACCTCCTGCATCCCCATCACTTCTGTCTGCTTTATTTTTCTCTATTGCACTTCTCACATAAAATTTTATCTATTTCCTTTATTGTCTGTCTCCCTTCATTGGAAATAATGGCTTCATAAGGCAGGGATTTTTGTCTGAAGCTTCTTTAAAACCCACCACACATGCACAGTTACACAAACGCAAATATGACTCTCACCTCTCACCGGGTACTATCAGTCATTCACACTTTAGTAAGACCACAAGCCAGGCCTTTCTTAAAAAGCAGTGGTCTGAGTCCTGGACCCATATTCTCTCCCCCACCTCAGTGCCCAGAGTCCAGCCAGGGCAGATTGAAAATCTTTATTATTTTTCTTCTCAAATATAAAATCACTCTCTCCATCCTGGCAGCTCATTAGCCTCAGGAAGAATATTAAGGGTAAGAATCACATTGCTAAAAAGAACAGACCCGTACCTGCCTCCCGCCCTGTCCTGTAGCTTGTCTCACCAGGGAGAACAAAAGGCACAGGTCATGACCTCAAGGCTCTCAAGCAGCTGACCCAGGCATGATGCTGAGCCCTGGGGGAGTTGGGGGGATCTAGGATTAAGCCCTGACTGGCTGGGCAGGTGGGCAGGATCCTGAGGTCCATCAATGCTTGTCAGCGGGGCGCATGTTCAAGTATGCTAGGCGTCCCAGGGGTCCACGGCGAGCATTGGTAGCCAGCCGCTGCTGTGCCAGGAATGACTGAGCATGTGCAGGCGCCCGCTCTTCCCCTGCTCGCTGCTGTAAGGCCATGCCCTGGAGAGAGGGGTGTGGTTGGCATTAGATGAGCCCAGGGGAGGCCCCTGACACTCCAGCGCTGGTGCTGGTGCACTCACCATATTATACCAGGCACTGATGAGCAACTTTTCTTCCTGCTCCCGCTGACTTCGATTCTTCTCAAAGTCCATCTGCCAAGGATGCAAGAGTCAAGGGCCTGGATATGCTGGGGGCAGTGAGGAGGGATGAGGGCACCCACCTCCAGGTGTCGGATTCGGACTTCCCGCTCCCGGAGCTGTGTCCTCAAGGTATGGAGTTCCGGAAGCATCCCCCCAGGTGGCCGCTGCTTTGGTTCCAGGGTCTGTATGACCTAGGGGTTGGGAAAGATACAGCCAAGGTGACCTTGGCTTCACAGGTTGTTTGACACAGTGGAGTGTGTTGAGTGTGACAACTCATGGCGATGATGTAAAAGTCTGTGACATAACGGGGTATGACAGGGATGGGGGTGGGGGCAGAGCTGTGCAAACTGCGGGAGGCGTGACCCAGCAGGAGGCAGCAGGCTGGACAGGAGGTCACTCAACATCCTCACCGTGCGTGCCTTGTCCACATAGCGGCGGTACCGCTCCTCCATGGCCCGCAAGTCTGCGTCCTTCTTCTGCAGGCTGTCCTGAAGCTCCTCGATTCGCCGGTCTGCTGGCGGAACAAAGTGGCCCCTCAGGTGCACGCCAAGCTCAGGTCCCCCCCACCCACCCGGCTGTGGAGCACAGCTCACTGCTGCCGTCGCTGGGTGGCTCCAGCTCCTCGATGTACTCGCGCTTCCGCTGCAGCTCCAGATCCGCTTCATGCAGCTTCTGCCTGTGGGCAGGGGACGAGCAGCGGTGGTGGCAACCGAGGCATTCCCAGCTGGAAGTGTCCCTGCCCGGCTACAGAGGCCTCTCCGCCTGCCTCCCAAGCACAGCGGCTGTGTGCTCTGGCCCCACTGCCTCCTCTGCCACCAGAACCACAACCCTCCAGACCCCTAGTCAGGTGGCCCTTAGACCAGCCCCCCTCTGTCCACTTCTATTTCACAGCTCACATTCTGATCCAGCCACCACTACCCTCTGGAGGGATTGTTCTACTCTCAGCTCCTCAGTTCCATGCCCCACCCAACAGCCAGTGATCTTTCTAGAATGCAGATCTCTTGTAACAAAAGGAAATGCAAACTACAAGTTGTGCCTAGGTTTAGTGCCCTTTGCCACCAGTGGCAAAACACAAAAGACTTAATAACACTCCCTGGAGGTGACACTGTTATTGTGCATTGAACGTGAAACATAGTATAACACCTAATAGTTACATCTACTAAAATTACAAAGACATGTGCCCTCTGAGTCACCAGTTCCACTTTTGTGATATATTTGCACACAGGTGAAACAATGCATATGCAAGGTTTTACACTGGGTTGCCTTGTTTGAAATTGTAAATACCTAGAAAGAACAAGTTAAATACACTAGGATCTTCACAGAAAATGCTACAGACCAGCCCTTCTGGCCCAGAATTTTATAGGAGCATTAAGCTCTAATGCCTCCAAGTATCCAGCCTCTGTAAGGAAATAACTTTTTCTGTGCTCGGCGTGAGCCTCAGCTACATTCCATCCTTGGTCAGAACTGAGAAAGCCACCACCCAAATCGTTTTCAGTAAGGCCTAGGTTCCCCATGGAAACCCAGCTGACACAGGCCGCTGTATATATATATATTTATCCTCATCCAAGGATGTGTTTGTTGAGTTTAGAGAGAGGAAGGGGAGAGAGAAGAGAGAAATATCGATTGGTTGCCTCCCATACATGCCCTGACCAGGAATTGAACCCGAAACCTTTTGGTGCACAGGATGACACTCCAACCAACTGAGCCACCTGGCCAGGACCAGGCTGCTATATTTATAAAAGATAATGATGATTTATTTGGAGAAATTTCTCTGTCATCTTAAATAGGAAAAGCAAGTACAGACTAGCACATATTATACCACCTTTGTGTAAATAAGGGCAGAAAATTAAAATCAATATTCATATTTGTTTGTATTTGCTTTAAAAAGCCTTGAGGGGAAAACACTTTATAAAATAAATAATTGTCTAACCACTAGGCTGTACACCTGAAACGAATACAAAATAATATTGAATGCAAACTGTAACTGAAAAAAGAAAAGGAAAAAATCCTCTGGAGGGATTTCCATAATAAACTAATAGGAATGGGGGTAGCATAGGGTGGAAAATGAGTCAGGGTGGGGGTAGTGGGGGGAGGAGGGGACACTGGAGGTATACATTTTGGTTTTTAAATTATAAATGTGATCACTATTTAAAATAGTTTTTTTAATAATGTAAAAAGTAAAAGATGACTATCGCTTTCAGCAAAGAGAGACTTTGATGAAATTCTCTGTGGTTTCTCCACTGCTCCCCAAAACAGTCTTTACTGCTTCCCGTGGCCTTGAAGGCCCCACTAGATCCGAACTTTCAGTCTGTATTTCTGCTGACTGGTTCGCCTCACAGAGGACTCTCCATGACACCTCCCACCCACCACACCTTTGCCCCAGCCTCCCCACCACTAGGAGAGCCATCCCTCTGGGACTCACAGATGCTCCTCCAGCTTCCTCTTCAGGAGGGCGGGCTAGGGAAGAGAAGAGGGTGGGGTCAGTGGGGTCCAGAGGTCCCAAGCCTTTTCTGGGGTGAG